CTGTGTCTCATTAATGATGACACAGTATGAGTTATTTAGTCCACGTATTTATGAAAATACCATATTTTTAAAGATCAAGTATACATTTTAACCTATGAAGTCTTCAAGAAATCATTTTACATGTTTTTATGCTCCAGTTGTGTTTGTGGTGGGTAATGAGTTTTTTTAAAGCCAATTCAGGGATCAGATCAAGGAATTTACTATCGGCTTAAAGAGAGTTTACGCTGTTTGGGTTAAAAAAAATCATCCACCCCCTTCCCTGCATGCCGTGTTTTGCGTTATCTCAATCTGTGGCAGCGGATGACGTGCCACATTTTGAGACATTTCAACTTGTGGTGAATTAGTAATGCCATATATTGAGGTTATGCTAAATGTGGTGCTAAATTTTGCGCGAATCGTTTAGCACATTCGGCCTTGTTCCACTATAAGTATTAAAAGAGGGATGAAACTTCAACTTTTGCAAAGAGAGAAGACCACAGTTTGAGATAACGCAACTTGTGGCTTATTGTGTGGTCGTCTTTTGCGTTATTGCAAAATATGTCTTCACCGGTAAATGACATATTTTGAGTTACAAATTTTATCTCAAACTGTGTCTCATTAATGATGACACAGTATGAGTTACTTAGTCCATGTACTTATGAAAATACCATGTTTTTAGTAATCATTGTTAATCAATTATGTACATCTCAAACTGTCTCTTTATAGTGTTGATGGCCCAGTTACAGCCTGAGTCATTCTCTTTGAAATAGTCGTCAAAGCCGTTTGTTACAAACTGCACCAGGAAGCTGTGTCATTTTGAACTAACAGTATTAAAGGTTTTGCCTTTCTACCGACATTGAGCTATTTGAAAATGTTTCTTTCTGTGTCGTCAGGGGCGCACAAGGACTGAATCTTTCCAATCATGTCCGAAATGTTTAAAATTGTTTTCTCTATGCCATTCAAGTCTGTTTCATTAGGTTTGAACAGCCCTAAAAACTAACAACCAGTTTTGATGGATGTTTTCGGGGAACTTTGGCCGTCTGGAAAGTTTTTGGGGACTACTTTGTCCCATGCGAAAGTTTTATTAACAGCCACCATGACGGTTCTTGAACACGGACTATTTAATTAGCCCTACTTTCAGTTATTAAGGGATGTTTTTTACTTTATACCGAGTTTTTCAGATGTATATTTTTCAGAAAACAGTCGTTGAGTGGCCCAGCATCGTGTTGAGCTACACAATGCTCATTACTTTTGGAAGTCCGTTATGTATAAGGAACTCTCTAGTCAATGTCAAGAGTGTTTCTGGTGTGGCTGTGTTTTCTTTCTTTCTTTTTTTAACTTGTTTATACACACAGCGAGTTATTCACTTAAAAGTCACCTAAAAGCAGTCTTTTAAGTCATATTTTTAAGTTACCCTCCCAATCTAACTCACGGGGGCGGGTGTCAATGTTATTTAGGCCACGGACTAAATTTCCCTCAAAAAGGTCTTGATTAATCGAAGCAAGGCAAAATCATTATGATCTTCCTGTTTAACCAATGAGCCTCTGCATGAGCTTAATGGTCTTCATGTGCACCTTTGAGCGTAGACGGGGACATTCCACAAGTTATGACCTAATCTGGACCCGTCCCACACAGGGTGCGGGTACAATTTATCCCTTATGTAGCAACCCAAAATCGAAGACGGGTATCCGTAATTATTTGGCAGGTGATCGTTAAATCGTCTTTATAGGTTCACAAAATAGAGGATAGTTTCTTGGTGTGGCGGACAAGCCGAGTTAAAGGGGCTGTGTCACGGCAGTCCAGTTCATTTTCTTCCATCGCTATGGAACTTAAAGTAGGCAAAGAAATTACAGGTATACAGTCGACTATCTCTTAACGGACACTTCTATAAGACGGACACCTCTGTAAAACGGACATATTTTTATCGTAAGCAGGAGGTATTTAAAGCCTGAAGTAGCACTGTTTCAAAGATGGTTCTAGACCTTAGCTATGAATGAAAGAGGGAGACGAAAAAGGCCGCTTACTTTAACGAAATCTAACTGAGACGGCAATATTAAACAATAATTAAGCCTCGAGATTTTCCTAAAAATGGGTTGTACGAAGTGATTTATGTTTTATCTGTCCGCGGTATATTCCTTCTGAACACTGCGCACACAAAACAACGTAAAGATACAAGGTATTGCTACGTTAAAGAACGCGACTTGGCTGAACACCGCCTCAACTTTGCCTAATAATTGGCCCAAAATGTCCAGCTTTAATCAGAAATAATTTGATCTCCCAAATTAGAGTCAGTTAAAAGAAAACACATCTGTCCTTTTATTCTTGCATATAATTACAACATGGACAATCGGTAAAGGTACCACATTTATGCACGTGATTATTCCATGAGCAAATAAACATAGAGGGGCGTAGCCAACCCATAATAGGCCCAGCCCTACAAATTTTTGGTTTGATCTTTCTACTGCTTAAGTTATCCGTTGTTGAGGTGAGTTAAGAGCTCAAAGTGTTGGTGAGGTCAGTGCGTACTAGTCAGGCGTGCAATTTTCAGGATATGTGGAAATGAAAGTCAGCCAGGCCTACAACTAGTCGAAAAGCTGGCTACGCCCCTGACATACAAAGGTAAGTTATTTTCGGAATGAGAAATTGCCTTAACTTTCACAAAATTAGCCCTTTCACTCCAAAAATCTGTTTTGTAAAATCCTAAGGGTAAAAGGCACACATCAAAAAAATCTGCCTAGAGCGTTCATGATTTCATGTTGAGATTTCAAAGTTTGAGTGACAAATCGTGTGCCACAAATTGGTCTAGGAGTGAAAGAGGTCAAAAACAATGTCCTTTGCATTTCATATCATTTCAAACCAAAAATTACAGGATAGCTAAAACGGTAGTAGTTGCGAAAAATTATCACAGTTTATAAAATTTTAATCAAACGTCTTGTGCAAGAAGGACGATCAAAGTTATACATGAGAAAATTTCAACAATTTCAGGGCAAAAAATTTTACAACCTTGTGCTTAGGGACTTTGGGTTGATTAAAAAGTATTCATTGCCTTGAATTAAATATATTTGTTTTTCATTAGGTGCTTTCAAATTTATTATTATTATTATTATCATTTTTAGTGGGGACATCCAGTTTAACCAAAGGCACAAACATAAAATAGCCGCGACATTTAAAAAGTATCATATTGGCTATACATCAAATGTCAAATGTAAAATGTCCTCTTAGCACATCCCTTCCACGTCATCGATGTCAGAGTCTTCTTCTTCATCTTTGTCTTCTTCTTCATGGTTTTCCCCATCTTCTTCCTCTGTTTCACTGATGTCCTCTTCAGAGATACATTTCTCATAGTTAGCATAATTCATCTCCTCTTCCTCTGACTCCATCATCTCTTCATCTCTTTCCTCCTGCTCATCCAGATCTTGATCATCTTCCTTGAGAATTTCTTCTAGCACATCAAGGAAGGGAGAGGCATATCTGTAGAAAAGTGAAAATTAATATTTTTTAAGGAGTTCTAATCACAAAAGAACTGTTATCAACCCTGTTCATCATTGGGCTAATTAAAATAACTTTGGACTAGTACATACTAACTACAGCTTGCCCAAATGGCATAGTTTTCTGACCTAGTCCATGCAAAACATGCTAACAAACTAGCAGGTAAATCAGAAAAAAATGGCATGATGTTTACGCATACTATTTTGAGCACACCTTGGCGACTTTTGTCACCAAGTTACATATGTAACCAAGGCCTGTAAGATATTTGCATGATAAGTCAACCTTATTTTGTCAGTACATTTTTAATTCCGATTTTGGTTGAATTTCAATTTGTAAAACTGTCATTCCTCTTTGTAGCACTTTGTTTCCATCATGATGCAAAGTTTTTATAACACCAGTACCATCTCCAGAAACCTCGCACATCAAACTTTGTGCACCTTACATTCAGGCTGTTATGCAATGGTTTTAACCACTGGTTTTAACAGTGATTCGAGTGGTCAATAACATAGTTCTTTATGGTCAAATAATAGCTGCTAATCAAAAATACAGTCAACTCTCTCCAAGACGGACACCTTTGGGACTGGCACTAAGTGTCCGTCTTATAAAGAGTCACATAAAGTGAATAAGCAAAGGCAGGGACCAACTCTAGGTGTCCGTTTTACAGAGGTGTCTGTCTTATAGAGGTGTCCGTTAAGAGAGAGTCGACTGTACTGCTAAAATGCAAAAACTGACAAACAAGCCTTGGAACGCGCGGTTTTGGTTTCGCCGAGATATTGTAGAGCAATGGTCTTGGATTTAAGCCGTAGAATAGAAGCACTTTTACAAATTAATAGTTTATTAACTCTAAATTGTTCAAACATGGGAAGGAAGAATATGCTTTTTCAGTGGACAAAAAAATCCACGAGAAAAGATAAGACTTTATACCTTAAGTTTTAAATGGTATCAGCTCTGTGAGTTTCCCGACGGAATTGTCATATTTGATTACTGAAGGAAGAGATTAATCAAGGTGGCAGTGCTCAATTTGCAATGGAATCATATGGAAGACGAAGATAATTTTTTCGTATTTTTATTTCCATTCCTGGATGTGCGAGATTTGAAGATAAGAGTTTTAAGTTTGTCAAAACTAAGATGTAAATAAGTCAACCTTTCAGTCTCAATCAGTTCCTAGTGTCCAGGTGTATTTTACTTATCCCACATTTCTTTTGTAAAAGTTCCATTGTTTACTGTTGGAATTTTTTTTCTAAGTGTCCACTGCTACCGGACGTGCGTGAAATTAAATTCTGGCCAAGGACAGTCCAGCATATCAGTGATTCCATATTAGGAAATAAATGTTGATTTGTTCTCCAAAAAACCCCAGCAATGGAACAGAGTTATACTCTTCTGGGTTATATGCTCATGCTGGTAACACCTAAAATAAAATATACTTACTCCATGGTGAAATTTCCAAAATTGGAAAAAAATTTCTTCCTCTTTAGACAAAACTGGCAGCGTTGACCGCATCTCCAACATCTTGGGAAATACTTATATCTGACGCGGTCTTCCTCCTCGGAGTAGGACTGCTTTTCCTCAAGTACCAGTGAAGGCACTTGAGGATTTTCAGCTTCCCTGATGATTCCCTTCTTCTGCTGCATTTTAATCCGCGAAGAGATAAGGGTCAGGAGCTCCTTTGTGGGGTTCTCCCCTGGTCTCCAGTTACCTACAGGCAATGAAGTAAATATTAAAATGTGTGTGTACACCTAATGAACGAGTCAGAAACAAGGGGAGCTCTTGATCATGCTCACATCAATTATCACTCTGCAAAATGTCCAGTGCCTCATGAAAGGTAAAGAAACTCTAACTTGGCAGCAACTGCAGCAGCAACAAACAAGCAAAAATAACACAGACACATAAAAATGTACTGTAGCATTATGTCTTTCAACCACGCACTACCAGCAGATATATTAGAGAAATTTTGCAAGCAACTTCAGAATACCCAGCAACTTTGAGCCTTTAGATTTAAGACCATGGTCCACGTTCCACAGGTGTTTAATGGGGTTCAGACAAGGATGAAAGTGTGCTGTTAACGTGATCAGTAGTCCCAAACTCGTCAAGTTGATGTTGATGTAAGCGTGGAAATGAAGTGCTACCGTGGTCTTCAGTCGCAAAGTAGTGGTTTAATCAGTAAGTAATCCGGTCCGCGGTCCTGCAGTGGTTGTGCGCTGTTGATTTGCTCATGGCTCAAAGAAAGAGACATACTCTACATGTGCATTTACAGCACACTTGTCATGCTTTTATGGCTTCAAGAATGAGGAATAGCATGCGCGTGTATGCTAAGATTGGATGATGATTTCTAACTGGCAGAGTATTCTGGGGTTTAGCCCAATTTTGCTTTGGAGGATTTCTTTTGGGTTTCGCTGCAAGTCTGATGGACTTTGTTTTTATTGTTTAACTTCCCGCAACTTTAAATAGGTACTAACCCTCGACCTGGACAAAGCTATGACACCCGATGACAGTTATCTGCATTAACACTCAAGTTATTTTCTATTGTTTTTTCTTTATGTGGGGAAAAAGTGAACCATGGAAAGCCTTCAAGGTTTCAACCAAACTGTCCCTAAGGGCCTGTTTACATGGAGGTGGGGGACCTCAGGTAGGTGAGGTAACCCACTTAGGTGGGGTTACATATTAACCCTCGTTTACATGCAATCTTACGACCCCGCCATCCCAGGGTGCACTTTCTCAAGATCATTGATTGGTTGCTAAGCATGTAAACAGTAAAAATACTGGCAAACCATGCATTTTGGCGATTAATGCTCTTCTACACTCACTTGCTGCTCTCGTTGCAACCTTCAGTGCTGTGGCTTTGTATTGCTACCTTTAATAATTATGCAAAGCCACCGCCAAAGTGAATTTTGTGAGAATTTGATGTATCACGAATCCGACCCCGGCTAGGCGGGTTACCCCACCTTGAAACGTTTACATGGCAAGATTTGACCCCGGCTGGGAGGGTTACCTTGGCAGGGTCACCCCACTTATCATGTAAACGCAATCAACTTAAAATGAGAGGTTATATGGAAAGGCGGGTTACCCCAACTAAGTGGGTTGCCTCACTTACCTGGGGTCCCCAGGCCCTAAATAAAGCAAACGTAAAAATAATCAGTTACCTAGCCTTGTAGGTGTTATGTCTTCAAACACTGCCTTGGTCTCGGGGTTGCTGGTCAGCACCATTCTGCCCAGAATCGCCGCGACTCCTTCCAGCACTGGATTGCCACGAACTTTATGATTAGAGCGCAAACCGCTCAGGCAACCGAAGGAATAAATTGCCAGATCAAGGAGATCGGAAAAGAGAGGAGGTACACGTTTTACCTTTGATGCGATCGTTTGCGTTGACGCAGTGCACGTGGCCGAGCAAGACGCCATTTTGCATTGCCGCCGTGACGGGATCAATCAAGTATTTCGCGCATACGCAGTGTGGTTGCAGTGTGGTTAATAATTCCCAGGGCCTTCTCCCCAGAGACCTGAAGTAAAGCGTGATAGATCGTTAATCGATCGTTACTCGTCACGGCTGTTTGCTTGCTCAGATCATGCCTTCTTCAAATTTATTGTCGTTTCTCAGACCTCTGTACGATATAGCTGTCTGGCAGTTCATTTTAATGTTGGGGTTCAAGGTCGACAGACGGAGAACTGCAAGGTTAAAATTCACCTGGAAAATGCACCAAGTTGTTGCAAATTTCATGTGCAAGCTGTTGGAGGCGAGACCCTTCGACCATTTGAAAGCAAGAATGGAAGAAGCAGAAGTTAAGACGGCAACAGAGGGATGGAAACCAGGGGATAGACCGACAAAGAGAATGATCGAGTGGTGCCAAGATCAATGGCGGAGAAAAGATCCAGCATACCCTCAAGAAAACTGCGCCTTCTCTGTCAACGAACCTTGCACAATGCCCTTGTTTAACGACATGCCAGTGTGTTTCAATTGTGGCGTTCCTTGCCCGGAGTGCCGTACGGAACTTGGAGAAGACATTCCACAAGAATTGTCCACTGCCCATGCCCTTCTGCACTTCGGGGCAATACGTGAAGAATCGAGCGAGGAGGATGCATCGTCTGAACCGAGGGAAGTGACATCACGAATGACCTTGAGATCTTCTCGCAAAGAATAAGTTCTCTGCTGCTGGGGCTACCTCGGAGAGCAGCGCCTCTGGACTATGTACGTAGTTACATTTTTTGCAAATTTTACCGTTACAGACAGTTCAGACTCATTTCAGCACTTGTCTCTTGTTTTCATATTATTTCTTTGTTCATTATTGTTATCGTTGTTATAAGGGTATGTTTAAGTAGTCATCTGAGTTTAATGTCAAAATTTATGCAGATCAAGAAATCCTTTTTTTCCATGGGGGAGTCGGGAGGGGGGATTGGAGGGGGGAGATGTGGCGATAGATAATTTCACCAGCCTCATCTTCATCATTATCACTGTTATTTATAGATGGGTAAACAACAGGCTAATATACAAATTTGTGAAAAATGATGCACAAACTAAGGAGAAAATGTTTGCAACTATGTTTCTTTACTAAAGAGAAATGAAAATGCCCAATACTGTAAATTTGCAGCAAGTTCCAAAATTACTAGTGTATCTACGGAACATTTTCTTACACCACACGAGAAGACAATGGTTAATTTGAAGTAGTGGTGACAGCAGAAATGAAGGACAGGTTTCTTTTTAAATATTCTGGACATACAACTTCATTCCCAGAATCAATCTCTTCTCTCCAACCCCCAGAGGCATGAGGATGGGAAGGAATATTGACCCCAAAACAATGTGTTTCCAGTGCTACAGATGTATATTGGGCAGACACCCTGTGGACCCTCCATATGGTCTGCATAAATTATGACACTATGTCAGCGTGCAAAGAAAGTAGTGTCCGATAGCCCGGGGCTAGTGGATTTTGCTATCGGGCTAGTGAATCCTGTTCTTAACTTGCCCGACGGGCAAGAGGAGTATTTTGAGGAATTCAACTTACAGAAGAACTGTGAAATCATTTCTGCTCATCCTAAAATGTTGGGGGCTATTTGAAATGACCTTTGGGCAAGTAAATGCTAGCTTCACCTTGCCTGAATGACAACCTGTAAAAATGACTTTCTTTGCACCCTGCCATGTGGTATCTTTTAGAATTATTAATACCTAATATTATTACACACGTCATATACAAGGAAAAATTCTTTGATTGCAATTTCCCGGTGCAAAATTCTTCGGAGAAAGACAAATAATATTTGTACATTTCTTCACAGAGGCCACCCAAAGACCTTTCTACAGGTCAGAACCATAGTTGATTACTTGTTTGTTAGTTAATTTCGGGTGCTTACAACTACTCCGAACATACTTACTTAAACCATGACCCAACAACATAGCCATGTTTTAAGAGAAAAGATTTATGAATAGGTGCTAATAAGTGTGTAAATTTTATTCAAATCTACTGCATCCTGAGTAAAAAAGAAGTTAATGATGGTAAATTACTGAGATAGAACTGTGGACATGCCTTGCTCAATAATTCACCTCCATTCTACCACATTCCTGATACAATAGCAAATGGTGGCAGTTGTTTGGGATATTCCAAATGCCTACATCACAGAATAATGGAGAAAAGAACTAATTTTAAGTATGTATTTTGCATACTTTGCAATTATTGAGCTACCAGTGGTGACACAAGAACAATCAGCATTAAATGGGAAGGACTCAAAAAAATTTTTTTAGTACATATATAGATTTAGCCAGGGCTATAAACGAAGCTCTGGTTAATAATACTTTTAAACTTCCTAGTTACACATTATTTTTATGGAGGAATTGTCTACGTGCTTATGTGCTTTTGTTTCATGAGTTCATGTTCACTTTAGCTTTTTCAATGCCGCTTATTTTCACCCTGCTGCAGGCCAATAGCATTCCTCATTTTCTCACCACCTCTATCAATTTTTCATGTGTTAATTTCTTCCAACAAAATTCATCTCCTTTGTTTTAAATCACTCGCTCTTGCTCTTTCTCTGCTACCCACATGAATCCAATTCACAAAGAATTTTTTTGAAAAAAATAAAGGACTTTTCAAGGAGTTCTTTTCTCCAATAACATGAGCATGAAGTAAAGACCTATGAAATGCACAGCTGGAGGGGGATTTGCTTATTGCAATACCTTCCTTCATTGAGGTATGGTTCCAAGGGTACTTCAGATAACAGAAAATGAACTATGCCTGGAACAAGGAAAATTTGTGTATTGCTGCGCTTTCAATCATTCCTTTGCACAAAACATCAGATCTTTTTTTTTTTTTTAATTATAGTTTCTTTTTATTCAAGGAGCTTTCAAAAATATTCAAGGACTTCGGTAGAAACCCACTTCAAGGACTTTTCAAGAATAACCAACAATTATTCAATTGAAGGACTTTTCAAGGACATGACGCTTTTTCGAGGACTTTTCAGGGCCCGTGCGAACCATGTGAGTGTAAACATCAAAAATGACGCTGAAAAAGACATGACTTTTTTTTTCTCGAAAAGTCCGGGTCCTTCCAAATTAAACCTTGAGTTGCATTTAGGTTGCCATACCGGTTGATTGAGTTGTTTTTTATAGGTGTGCCTGTGGTTCCGACAGTCAGGTGGACGTGCAATCAAGTGACTATCAAAATTTATCAGATGCATAGGTTACCAAATTTTGTTACCAATGGTGCTCCACTATAATCACCTGTCAGAATCAATCAAAGGTGTCCATGATTTTTGACTGGTGAGGTTCAAAAAGCTTTACAAAATAAAAAAAATAATTGCACGATCGTTCACATTCAGGTAAATATTTTCTTTCTTTTTTATTTATTATCTCAGGGGTTTGAAAATCCAGAGTTTGTGGTCAGAGACTGGTTGGCCATCATGATGCTCTTTTATCATTTCAGCTCTGGCATCTTGGGTGTAGAGCTCAAAACTGTTGGACTTCCTGAAATTGAATGCAACACTTGATTTAGCCAATTTACTGATTTTAAGTAAGCAAAAGAAAAAAAAAATGAGCATATATATAGAGCTAAAAAGTGAATAAGCCAGATCATTTATTTCAATCAAAGTATTTTAATCATATTGATGATTAATAATTATTTACAAATAAAATATGAGACTCCTTAACTGCAACATATTGTAGAGAAATCTACATTGTATCACATACCATCTTCCTGCCCTTTTGATAGAGCTGTCATCGGCCCCACATCTGGCAGCCCATCGGGCTACAGACCGTCTGATGCTGTGTGTGGTGAACTCTTTACCAAAAAGAGTCTTTGACATCTAAAACAATAAGTAGAAGCACTATGCCATAAATAGAACATACTCTGCAACTTTTCTGACCTAGACACTATAAATCTTGGTAAAATACAAAGGAGATTTCAAATATTTAAGGTGATTCACTAGTTTTATACCACATATCCCTCAATGGGCATGGTAAGGTGGCGGCCGGGAAAAAGGGCTTACAGAGTACATTATTAAAATGAGGTCTTCAAGGAAAAGATTGACACCTCAATGTAAATTTCGTATCATTATTGTATTTTCAATACTGCACGATTAAATGCAAAAACAGAGAAAAAATACACCACTCTGTTCTAACGTGCTTAAAAATAGGTTCAAAATAAACATAAATCAGAAATAAATTATTATATATTCTATCTACCTTGACAGGTAAAATAACATTAAAATATAAGTCAGTGAGAATAAAGAACAGATGAAAATGGGGAGGATAGCATAAACATCGCCATAAAATAGAAGTAAAATGGGGTTGTTTTTGCAAAGGTGTCTTCTACCTTCCACCCACTTGACACTCTGACATTGCCACAGTGCTTGCTCAACAATCGTAAGAAGTGCAGCTGGCACACACTTGTCACAGCTCTACCACAATAACAAGTTCGGTGACACCCATTTGTTATTGTAATTTAATATTATATTAATAAGGACAGTTTTTCTTCATAACAAGTTCAACAGGGCTTACCCAAGTAAAGACTTCTTTGGAGCATAAAGTAAAATGAAAGGTATCGAAATGGATTTTTTGTTGCTCACATCCATCGTCAAGGGTGCCTAAATGGCATGTACTGTAAATTTCCCACAAAATGCACCATTTATTTCCTAGCTTATTGTTACTGTATTATAAAAGCAAAATAGCACTTATACCTCCAAAAAGGTTTTTCTGTATGTAGTGACACCTCGAGCACAGTTAGGAAGAACTGCTCTGTTGCTTTTAGCAACTCGGGGAAAAATATAATTTTGCCCTTTCCTAATTCCTGCAGATGAAGTAAAAAATGATTATATCATTGTAAAGGTAAAAGAACCAAAAAAAAACAGAATTAAACAAAACATATTACACCACAACAATATGGATAAACTTAAAAATGTAAGACCACGTCAATTTGAATAATACATTAAGATGATCAATATGTTCACAGAAGACGCATATTCAAGATATAAAATATTACAAACCTTTACAATAAAATATAGCTATAATTATTGTGACAAAGACAAATCTACTAACCTGTAATAAGTAACCATGAGAACAGGGCAGTAACTGGGCATAGCTCACGGTTTAATGTGTTGGCCCAAAGAGATAGTGTCACACCTGCAGTGAGATTAGGGTGAAAATGCAAGAGCTTATTAACTTTACTTTGGGTGAAGGTTGTATTCATAAAAATAAAGACAAGTGGGAGACAAGTGCTTTCACCACTGTGCCGCCCCTGCTCCCCAATTATGTATTATTGCAAAGTTATAAAAGCTGAAAACATGACTTACAGAAAGTAGAGTGGTAAAGTCATTTAATATTAATAAATTTCAATTAGCTAGGAATTACTTTGAAACTCAAAACTGTAACCACCAAAAGAGATGAATCATTGTTGCTGTCTGCAGTTTAGTTTTCTCACACAATTTGTGAGCAGTGATAATGATAACTATGATAAGTTTGTGGATCCTGAGGTTCATTCGTGTCTGTAATGTGAACAGTCGCTACAGAATCAACATTCCTGAAATAATTCATATGTCAGCGGTTTTCAAAGTTTGACAGTAAACCCATACATTCACTCAATGACAATATTATTTGTAGCAGAAAATAGCACTGAGTCAATGATTTGATACTCTTTAATATAACGTTACAATTAAAACTTTGGACAAAATCCCCTGATGTTAATATGCCATTATTACACTTCTCTGACTGAAATTTTTCTAAGGTGACCAACCTTGCATTATCTTCTAGACCTTCCTTATTTTTAAGACATTAAGGAGTAGAACTGGGTTAAATGCAACAAATGAACATCACATCCGCATTGCAAGGTTCAAAATGCTGCCCAAAAAACACAGTTTCAGTTTAGCTGATGTAAGTCTAAAAAACACTTTAGGTGATCATCTACCTACGGCAAATTTCAGTCTTATTGTTTTAGGCAAAACAAAATTAATGATGCTATTAATCTTTGGTCAAGAAGAAAAGTATAATAGCACTATAGAACTCCTGAAGTACATTGAAGAACATCAAATTCATGTCTTAAAATCAATTTGCAATAATACACTACCAATTAAACAAGCCTCAAGGCCTGCATGCCCAAATTTATCATGCACACAAAGTTCATCAATGTATTTGATTTAAACTCTCCCTTAATTAAGTACTTGACAGTAGTAAAACAGTCACCTTTGGCTTTTTTGTCTGCTTTGGACCATGGTATCTTCACCTCGATCCTTTGTGGCACTCTACCAGAATCAGCTGAACATAAATATAATATAAAAACAATTCAATATCAGCATAAGATTCAAGGTCATTACAAAATTTATGTAATTTTAATTTAAAAGTCTATGATCTGGGATAGAGAGACATCAACCATCAAAGCGTAATTCTTGGTTAGAAATTCCCGGGAGAATTACCACATCATTGGACAAACTATCATTTTTTTGGTGAGATTTTACACATTTGAACGCACTTACCATCTATAAGCTTTTTTATTTTCCACGTATGATTAAGCTATTTGTCCTTAACTTAAGTCATTACTTTCCTTTTGTTTTCAAGAGAGATATTCAAGATTTCATTCAAATCGCAGACGTTTTTCGTTTCAATTTTGTGGACAGCTTGTCATGCTTAAACAGCAAAAGGTTGGGTACCGTATAGAGAGGTTTTCCTGGTTCAGAAAATCTGTCCAATTCATGATTTCATTTCTCACCATGTTGTTTTAGTTGGATTGACTTATCAAACTGTGCTGTTGAGAAGTTCAGTGCCTAATATTAGCCTATTTTACAGTCACAGGTGAAAACGAAGCTGGAGTTGACCTTGTGGATACCATCCCTTCTTGTTTAATAATTATCATGTAGATCATGTCCTTATGCTAACTTAACTTGTACTTTTCAAGCATAATTGTTCATTACCAAAAGCAGGAGGTTTGTATCAAAACATGGTCAATCTCAGCCTCTCATTCACTCAAAGGGCAGCAACTGTAAAATGGTCTATTTAATGAAATGAGAATTCAATTCTTCCAAGAATTTTTTTGAAATCATCATTATTTAATTATCTTCAACTGAAGAATGCGATATTGAAATGTCTAATGAACCCAATATTGTTAATTAGGTTCAAATTTTATTCTTCCTAGGAAATTGTGATCGGACTTCACTGTAAATATATAAGTGTATAACATACCTGCATAGTTTTGGGGCAGTTTTAAATGACGCAGTTTAAGGCGTAGAGGTTCCTCACCACGGAGGAAAAGGGCAAATGAAAATAAAGTCAGAGTCCAAAGCCACAATCCGCGCATTCCCTTAAAAGAATATTAAAACAAGCAACAACTCGTTATTAAGGTTAACACAAACAAATAAACATACCCAGCAGACAGAATTAAAAAGCCATCTCCCTTTTATACAATTGGAATTACCATCTATTTTACAGCTGTTTAAAAAATAGGAAAACTATCTTGTACATATTATTTTATTCTAATTTTTACGTAGTTCTCTGTAGTTCAGTTCCCTCTCAAAACCCCATTATATAATGGAGCTATATAGCTCCATACTTTTCATATAAAACGTAATGGCACTTTAGACCCACTCAGAATGTCCATTGAGTGACCCTCGCTGGTGTGGGTATGGTTATTTTCTAGCACAATACTTATATATACACCTATTTCAATTAAGGTTGCTCCCATGAACCATGTTTCATAGCCTGCAGTGCACTATGGTAAACCCTTTTGTAGCGGGAAGTTTAGTCTTGTTCACATTCATTGAAATAATGGAGACCATTTGAGAAGGCGTTCAAGAGAGCTTTCAAGTCAAATGGCTGCTAAAATTCTTAAGCATGAGTGAGCTGAAGAATTTCATTTTAAAAATCTAACAGTAAGAAATTTGAAGCTTGTTCTTTTAACAACATTAAATGAATAGGTTTTACCGCCAGACTAAGCTGCGTTTTCTCATGGGCCAGAATGCTGGTTAATTATTTCAATGAAACAAATCAACTGGCCTATTCTTTTTTCTATTCAGTGTTTAAAAAATGGCCTCTAAAATAAATTTGCAGCATTTGAATATTACCACAGAGAAAAACCCTAACCTCAAATCACTGTATACATTAAAAAGCCTAGGGTTCAGTGTTTCGAAATACATTGTCTTACATAACGTTCTGCTGACATAGCATAGAAGTGTCAGCAGCGTTTGCTTTCTAGGTTTCTAGGCTCTTGGCGGGTACAAAACTTCTTGCTAGACTTGCTACAGTAATGCACCCGCTGGCTATGAAACATGGATCATGCATCATTCTTCTCTGAAGCAACCTTAATTGAAATAGGTGTATATAACAGTCACTATATATACATATATGCAGAATCATTATACACATTCTAAATTTCAAAATAAATACCTCTACTGTCTTTAAGCAGTATTCGCGCATTTTCAACAACTGATGGAGGGTAAATGGAGGGGCCTTTTTAGGCTCGTATGCCACCCTCCCTTGACGTGCATCTTTTCTTGTTGGCCGCGATGACCTCCTCACAAGCTGCTTTATGGTCTGTTTTACGGCTAAAAAGTCAAGAACAGTGAGCAGGTTGGATGGATAGTTGGTTAGATGGACTGCGAAAACTTTTGTTAACCCTTATACACCTGCGTAGGCTCCATATATTGTGTTAAATGACACTTTATGTTGCTTATATGAAGTTGTTTATTGGATTTTTTAATTTGCAATCAGTTTTTTGCCATTTTGGACTGACTTTTTGGCAATATTTTCTTGCTGTGCCATGGTAACCTTTAAAAATGGCGTCAGTCATGAAGGGGTTGATCGAGAAGCACCGGATATGTCTACTTTCGAAATACGTCCAATCATAGCTACTTTTATCTCAAAGGGAACTTTTGATATGTTATTTAGTATATGTATGTCAAAACTGAAGCAGTTGTTGAGATTTGCACTAATGTGCTTGGGTGTCTGTAAATATAAGGAAGACTGTTTAATAAATGTGCATATCCCGCAATTATGTATTAATTAATTTTCCCTGACCGGGTATAAATCACAGGTCAACTTGAACTTCAACTTTATTTAATTAAATTTGGAAAAATAACAAAAGATACATCATTGGGACTGGCCTGCAGTTAGCGAGGCTATTCGAGGCAGACCAGGCTACATAATTGCTACAAACTAGACAAATACAAAGAAATTAGACGTTATATAAGTATATATATTTTACATTAAATAGATACTATTCTCCTAAAATGCAAGGACAATATTAAAGTGAAATTTAAAAAATAAAATAAAATGAAAATAAAGGACAAGAGAATTACTTCTTCATTTTCACAATGATCGTATCCACATCAATATAGGAGTCTTCAGTTTCAAGGATATTGAGTAGCATTTCTTTCAGTGATCTTTGAAAAGCTTTTCGGTCTTTCTTTAAGAATTTGAGGTATCCCATTCCAAATTTTGACCCCAACAGGTGAAAAAACAGGTAGAGCTAGAGTGCACGTAGATCATCAATGTAACTGCAGAGAATTATTTATTTACCTGGGGAATTCATAGGATTCCCTTTGGCAATAACTTTTTGGGACCCATCTGGTAAAACTCTGACGGATTGGCTGTAAGGGCCTGTGTGCCCAAAAACATTGAACCAATATGTGAAAGCTGCAGCATGGCCTCTCACAACTGGAGGCTTAAGGCCACGACAGCGGAGTGTTCCCAGCCTCTTGCCTTTTGTCTCACTTAACATTTCTGAAAGAAATTAAATTACATAGTTTTGTTTTCTAATAGATTAGTGAGCCACACCCTATAAAAATGTAAACATCATGTTTCCAGCTCGACATGTGAAAAATAAATAAAGCACATGGAAGTCAACAAAAACAAAATTAAGTGGAGCATGACTGTATTTAAACTGTATACAATAACACTCAGCAGTGAAAATTTTAAAATAGGCATTTTGAAAACAAAAAAAAAATGAGGGGGGAAATGTGCCCAACAGGCCGGCATATTACATTGTACTGTGCATGATTTACTTCCATTAATTTTAGCCAGAAATAATTTTGCCCATGGTTGGCAAGAGATCAGAAAAAGGTAAACTCATTTTTAATGATTATTCCAACTTTATGTGAACGGTCAGTCATGTGTGATATCATCCAAGTTTGCGGCACAATTTGCATACTGACTGCCATAATCCCTTTCAAAAAAGTCATGCATTCCATTCTATTTTGGCAGAAAATCCCGGCAGCTCTACATAAATGCCATACTTGTAATAAGGCCCTTAACATGTCAGGTTTTGAAACAATCATACTCACCTTCACATCTGTACCTGGAAAAATCTTAAAATCTTCTTTTAGACAAGAAATTTTTACAAAGAATTTTATGGTGGTGAGGAGCGATCTCATTCCTCAGTAACCGGACCAACCCAGCCTGACTTCACATGAAGAGACCCTGAGAACATCTCATCCACTAGTCTCTCGTATTCAATAGGCCTTGATGAGTAGGCAATTGCTTGAGAAGTTAAAGTTTTCAAAACAGTCGTTTTACGGAAATTATTCGCCATTAGATTCTCATACAAAAAATGTAATTTCTCAAGCGGTTGCCTACTCGCGAAGATGGCTTCCTATATCAGTATGCAGAGCATATATCTACATCAGTAAGCAGAGCTTTTAGTTTTTTAAGAGGTGTGAAATCTACCAAGCTCTGCATGGTGAAAGGTGTGAAATCAGAAGATCAGTTACTCCATTCTTTTACATGTTAAATAATCAAGACGCAAGCTTCTTGTAGCAGCTTTGAAATTGCATCACATGGCCTTTTCCTGGCTCTTGGGTTTTTGCGACAAGGAAACGAGTAATAAAGACCAAAAGCGAGCACGAAAAAAATGGCTGTCACATGCTAAAAGCCTACGTTTATTATTTACTAACTAGCACGGTAATCGATCGGCTACATTCAAAGAACATTAAGCTTACTTAGCCACGGTAGTCTTTCAAGTCGCACAAGAATTACCAAAAAACGAAAATATGTTTAAACATTTTTCTTGTGTTATCTCGCTACGACTTCATTACATGCAGGATAAATACCAAGTTTTTTTAGCACAACAATTCGCACACATCATACAAGTAGAGAAGCATTAAACTGACAAACTTACGCATGTATGTCTGGATTGTTGCCGCCAAAAACGGCCTTTTATCAGGACCAAACAACACAGCATCATCTCCATTTTGCTGAGCAAACTGCTCCAAAGACATGAGCCGGAGCTCATAGGTCCGACTCGTTTTCTCGTCGTGTGCCTGGCTTTCGTTTTCTGCTGCGAGCCTTGCGCCTGCTGCGAGATTAGACGAGAGAAGGCTCCCTATATCTTCCTCATTTCCGCAGCTTTCGATGTACCGTAGTACATTAGGACTACGGCCTTTGAAGTTTTTTCTTTTTGGAGGCATACTAAAATAGTAATGCCAAGCACGCAACAGTCGCAACAGAGCTCCCACGTGAAACGTGAACTGTCGTACCTAATGATTACGTATTAACAGGACGGAAATTTGATTGGCTTATTCTTGTAGGATTCCTACAGCCCCCCGCCTGGATTCCTGCAAATTTCTACCGACGGGATAATCGTTCATTCTAAACCATAAGAAAAGATTTAATTAGAGGTTGAATTTTTCGCCATTTATCTTTCAGTTTTTGCATTAAGTTCATTTTATTTGCCGGAAAGTAAGCCGTAGAAATTAAAAGGACGTTTGATCGATTCCCTCTCGCGCATTCTAGTCTTATTTTAAACTTTATAACGGAAGGACATCTGGGAGGAGGGAATAAGTCAGCACAGGATTTGATTGTCGGCGAATTTCTGTAATCGTCAATCGTTCTGCTAGTGATAAGCTAGCCGTTGTTCACTCGTCTTGCTTGTTTGGGGCTGAGTCTTATTCCGGTCAAAGAGAGAGAAAGAGTGTCTGGCAAGGTTTCCAATATAAATCAAAGATTTATGACATCGTGTCTGGCAAACTCTCCAAGTATTTATATATACACAGTTAAACGCACCTTATAACCTCATCTGCGCTTAACGAGTGTCTTTTGGTCCATAACTTTCAAAACAACTGCTCCACAGAATGTCACTGCGTAACGCGAAAGAGTATCGAAGTATGACTGCACAATAAATATCACAAAATCTACCTGAGCTGTCCCTTAGGGATTTTCTGTCTTTACGTCATCCTAACCATTTCGTACTTGCGGGCGCAAACAATAGAAACTTCATCATTACCTACCGATTCCTCGCGGCCCTTGTTCAAGCAAATCGAGATTTTTTCTATATTGTCTTAGCCTCCCACGCACACGCAGGCGTTTTTAGGGGAGCTCGTATTTCTTCCCTCCCTACAAACGCCTGCTCAACGGAAAACAACATTCCTTTCTCATTGTTTTATTTGCGTGGTGAGTGACCAATCAACAATTGTGCAATAAAGTGTTGACAGGCTAAACACGACTGAACGTGACCCTAGCGTTACCGTTTTCCTTCTTTTCTTTCCTTCGCTAAGCTTATGCTGTGCACGGAGTATTCTGAATTTTGACTTAATCTTATTTTTGCCGCTCTGAATCTAACATTTATTACAGGTCAGAAAGCTTTCCCGGTGTTTAATGCAGATCGAGTAATTATCAGATTACCTTGCGGTCAAGGTGGGGAGGGAAGAAATACGAGCTCCCCTAAAAACGCCTGCGTTGGAGGTTAATATTGACTGTATGACTGTATATTTTCAACTGTAAGTACTTTCCTTAATATACGCGCGAGTTACTAGAGTGCCTCCTCGGGATTTCGCCTTCTGGGCGAAATCCCTGCGGGGGCAATTATGCTAATATCATAGGTGACGAATTACTCCTTAATTTTGCAGCGAAATTTCAGCGATAATTTGAAATTACAAAATTGCCATGGTAAGTCTCAGTGTCAAGATGGCGACGAAGTTTTAAAATGTCATGAATGAAGATGACAGGGCATATAAAGACGCTTTAGAAAACCTGAACTCACCAAAGAGCACATCAAGAAGGATCCTAACAGGTATTTTGTCGAAAAATTCTAAACTTGAGTCAAATTTAAGCTCTGAAAGTTCGAGAGAGTAAAGTTCTTGATCGATACGATCCAGGATAAACATGTCAAAAATCCAAGATTGCTAACGTAATTAGTCACCCATGATATTAATAGATAATCAAATGGTATACTCGTGAAATTGGAGAATAATTTCACTCGTCACAATTTGATTACACATACATATTTTTGAATCCCAAAAATTTTAGGTTTTTTTTCTCTACGAAAAATAGCTTAACCTGGCTTAACCTGGGCTAAGCGTGCCCTCTGAAATAAGCCCTCTCCTTCTAATAAGCCCCCCCTTTTCAGGGGAAGAAAGTTAATAAGCCCCCTCTCCTCTCTCCTAATTATCCTTCACTAATAAATGATATAGACTGTATTAATCAATCACGACTGTAGAATTTCGTCTGGAGTGATCCGGGTGGGTTCATTTACCAACTGGAAGTTTAGATTTGATTCTGATCCTCGTCTGCATGACCTCCAACATCTTGTACTTGAGCTTTTCCACTTTACATTCTAGTTCTTTATGGAGAACTGATACCATCGTCGTTTCTAAATTTCATAAGCTCCTCCTTCTCAAATAAGCCGCCCCTCAAATGGACTTGAAATAAATAAGCCTTTCCCCCCGGGGCTTAATATAGGATTTACGGTAATAAACTTCAGACAATCGTAGGGAATTTACTACCCGACGTTGCGTAGCACCTAGATCGTAATCATGGTCCCAGGCGTTCCTAGCGACTGTGAATATTGGGGATAAGAATCGTGACGACTTTCATTGTAATGCAAATGAGACTCGTGATGAGCATGCGCCTAGTTGATCACGTTTGGCTTTTTTGCAATGATGTAATTTCCCGAATCGAGTCCCTTGATTTTCTAGCATGCGTACCATAGCGGTTTTGGATATCCCGTATAACAGGTGCTTTATGAGCCAAGCGAGGCGAACGCAGCATTTTTCGTGAAGCGCGAGGCTAGGGAAGGCGAAAAATAAACTATTTTTCTCCTCCCCTTGTGTCGCGCTTCGCACTCGCGAGAGCTGCTTGATGAGATAAAAAGAAAGTACTTCATTAACAAAGGAACTGGACTTGATCATATTCCATTCAAAATATACTTGTTTTGGTGTACCAAAGAAGCTAGCAGGTAGAGCGCACGTTTTACCGATTTATAATATATACCAGAGACTAATTATCCGTCAGTGTGTGAGATGCAAGTTACCGGCCCCATCCTAGACGGATAATTCATGGATATTTAAGTTT